GGGGGGGGGGGGGGTCTCGCATTTTGGGAGGATACAGAAGAAGGAAACCCAACTTTTGGAGCCGCAACTCTCGCAAAAAACGCTCAAGGAGATTGGTCGGAAAGCACACCGAACCCCTGATCCGTTCCGCCACCACGCTCCACATGTCACACAAGTAACGGCAGCAACGAAGCTAGAGAAGACGCAAGCAAACAAAAGTATTTAGTGCAAATTGAAAACTCGACCTCTTGTAGGCATGCAACCTAAACAAAAGAAGCACTTCACATCCAACCCTGAGTAAGTGGAAGGTTAGCGAGCGCGGCCGGTGCATTTGCTTACTTGGCGTGCCCCACGGAGCCCATGAGGTAGGCGCTATCTATCCCGAGATTGGCGACCGCCAGCATCATGATGATCTTGTAGGCGAACGTCTGCAACCGCGGGAACCTCCAGAAGGTGACGATGATGAACGCGGAAGACACGGCCGACACCATCGAGAACGCCAGCTGCGTCCGTGGTTTCCGCAGTTGATAGGAGGGTTTGCCGTCGGCGTCGACGTTGTTCGGGGAGGAGGGCGTCGTCAGTGGGTTGGGTTGGAAGATTGTGAGAAGGTGTGAGTGTTTGTTGTCGTCTTCACATTAGCAAAACCGTTCCGGTCTTGCGGTCTTTGCTGAGTGCCGTCTTGACATCCGTACTGGTCAAACTGACGCGGACGCCTTCCATGACCACAGGCCAAAGATGTGTGGACCTCCATCATTCCCATGTACAGAAGGCACCCTTCTTACGCTGTCCCGAACATGTTTTCATAATTGAAGATAAAAAATAACTACAACAATATCACCAACAGATACGAAGGAGTACATCACTTCTTGCGCTCAAAAAGGTAATTTTTGGATCCATCACGGTTTGGACAACTTTTTGGAACAGCCTCACCCTGTCTGTCGTTTTTTCGCATCTTTTTCCCGGAAGGTGGGGCTGTCCTAACACACAACAACACCGCAGTTGCCTAACACCAACATCTTCCAGCCCACGCCCCACAGTGAGAGCAGCGTCACCTACTATACACACTTGACTCTCGACGATTGGTCCCCGTAACAGTGGGCTTGGGATGTGTCACGCGCACGTCGTTATTCGTCGGTTTGTTTTCCCGTCTCTCTGCCTGCACGCAAGGAAAGCTAGAACACTCCCGGCTTCTATCAAGCCACCGCACAAGACGCGCCATACACACAGCTCGTGGGGGTATTTTTTGTTGTTGTTATCCTCACTTCCTTCAAATCAGCGATGATAGCACTCATGCTGTTTACTCCAACCCGTGGTCACACAGAAGGGTTTTCCTCCTACCCACTCCTCCTGCCCCCCGGTGTTTGCCATCGGGGTTGGGTTTTCGTCGCTTGGCAACGACGTTGTAAACAAGCCGATCGCTTCGTGAGCTCGGCAACCGGGTTATCGCTTTTTTTTCCTGGTTTGTTTTGGTGATAACCATTATCGTGGTCAAGTAGATTATGTTGTGCGGGGTGGAGAACGCTCACTCCGTGCAAACGGAATGATCGCACCGCGTTGTGTTAAAATGGTCAGGTACCCTTGAGGCAGATACACAGTGCTTACAACTGGCTCTGGAAGTGGAAGCACCAGAAAATAAGTTAAAGTCACACGCAGCTGCCATCCTGTCGCAAGGAAGAAAGCACAAGATGCCGAAAACCCTGAGCAAGATGCAGCGCACCCTTCATGCGACTCGCCGAATATCTCACGGCGCTTCGCGCTTGGTGATGCCAGAGCTTGGTCCGGTGAGAACCTGGCGTGCTCCGTCCCGGCTTTGTAGGGATGCGAGGACACCGGTCTAACGACTACACGTATGCACGCTTATGCGTATGAGTACACTCCCCACCCCTCCTGCGGTACTCTGCCTTCGATTTTAAATGCGAAGAAGAGTGCAGCACCCCTTTCCCTCTGATTACACACGAACTAAACGCTTTCCACCCAGGCCATGCTAAGCTCAATTTTTGCAGCTGCTTCGGTCTGTGGGGAGGAGTCACCGACAAACCACACCGGTGGCCAAAGCATGACAAGCGACGAAGTCTAACGAATGGTCGTTGCAGAGCTTTTTGTTTCGTCATCGACACGAAAAAACTCGACTGCAGGTTAAGAAGTGTGTCATCCACAACAGCAGCCATATCCTATAAACTCAGCGGTCCTTGTTCGCAAAAAAAGGACGAAATATTGACGAAGACGACAAAAATATTTGGGATAGCTTTAGGTAAGACTGCTGAATCCAGATTGTGTAAATTACAAACAAAAATCTAGAAGTTCGTTGAGATTCGCTGGGCTCTTCGAGTAAGAAACACGTCAGCTGTGCGAGCTGTTGAGCTTGGTGGAAACGTTACACCGCCGTCAGCTGTGCGATGGTCCTGCTGGCTGGTTTTATATTTTCATCTTGCATCACCCCTTTTGATGACACTTGTTGTAATCTCATGAGCCCACTCCGGAGGCATCACTTGTACGCTTTTGCCTTCATTCAATAATGAATTAATTGCCAGTATATCTTAGACTCTTTTCCTAGAGAGAGATGGATTCATTGGGTCATACTCAGAACATAATTAAAAGATAATAATCATAGTCATAATAATAATTCAGTGCCGTTCTGTCGGATTTCCCCCGCCGAACTGAAAGTTACTGCTGAACGCACGCGCGGGACGTACACTGCTCTGTCTACCGGCAACCATGATTTCGCGCGATCCCCAAAAAGAGAGGGAGGGAAGAGTGAGCGAGCTTTCCCGACGCAGGTCGGGTCCGACGCAGGTCGGGAGTCGGTCCGGCAGGCCACCCCTTGTCTGAGACTATTAAAGTACGTCATTACAGTAGTGGTATGTGTGTGTGTTTTCGTCCTATTTATTATGGCGACAGTCCCCCCATTTTTCGTGGTGAGACGTGTACTACACTTTTCAGTGTATTTTTCGTACAACTACAACCAGGCTTTTTTATTCTTTTCATTTATTTTCATGCCCCACCTTCCTCCTGCGGTGCGTGCTGAATTTTATTTTTATCGCGAGAAGGGTCCAGCCGTCCCTTTCCCCCGTCAACGGTGCTAACGTCGAAGTTTGGTACTCACGAGAGCTTTTTTAGCTATATTTCGCTTTCACCCGAAAATTTCGTAAATTTTTCACCCCATGGGGATTCGAACTCACGACCTCTGCGACTAGCGGATTACGAGGGTACCACTAGACCGCCGAGGCGACCGGTTATGCATAGAGGGCAATCACTTGCGCGCATCGAACCGCAGCTCTGGGACAAGCAACACAGTAACAGTTTTTATATGTGTTTGCTAGAGCCGGGCACTGACAACGGGGGTGCTGCGCCTGCAGTTCTTTTCGTATCCACAGCAGCAGCAGCAGTGGTACTTCTTTGTTTTAACCGACCAGCGGACAACACCATTACCGTCGACCGATACACTCGGTTCCAAATGCCGAGCGCGCGCGGAGGAACAAAAATGACACGGAAATGTAAATGTACCTCTCGGGAAACTCCAAATCTACAGCTGGAAACCTGCTTTAGAAATTTCGTGATCCGATCAGACAGCAGTTCCTCGTCACGCGATTTTTTGCTGGCCCTCGTCGGATGAGGTAAGTCGCTTGTTGTCTGTCACTATTTTTTTTCTGTACGGACTTCGTGCATGGTTAGGCCCTTCCCCCGCCGGCGATCGGAATGTAATACCAGGTATTATAATACGACCAAGCGGCACACTGATGTAACATTTTCCTCAACATAAATGTTTGCACATGAAAACAAACATAGATACACCAAACATAATCTTGCTTGGTCATTATGCATAAAGATATTCTTTACGAACTTGGTGCATGATCCACAACCCCATGAGCTCAAAGAACGTGATTCGTTACTCCCGCAAGGGCGTGCGGACGTGAAGTTAACAGACGGGCGGCCGTATATATTTACTTTCCGAATACTCGCCGTACAAGCAAAAGGCAACAGCACGGCCTCGATCTTCTCCCCCCATCTAGCTCGTATCGATATGCTCTTCGAGGAATAAGCATGCATGATAACCCACACCACCAAACGCCCCGCGCACGGCGGTACATGGTCTGGCTTATTCTCTCCGTCATCCCAAAACGCACAACCCTCTCTCTCTCTCTCTCTCACCGCGATGTCGACGAGCTCAGCAATTTCGACAGCCGTGAAGTCGGTGTATTGGGAAGCTTGGTCGAAAGAAAAACTCGACGACGTGATCGTCGACATGATGCCGTGCCTTCGTCTACCACTCTCCCAAAAGAGAAGAGCGAGAAGGAAGTGCTAGTGCTGCTGTTCCCGACACACCCCAGCGGCCGGGAGACGCACCCCACTACCCCCTGGCTCGAGAAGGGTATGTATGGACAAGATAATTGAATCACGGAGCCCCCTGCTTCATCTTGCCGCATTTTTCTACACCCAGCCACCAGCACACCACACTGCCGCTGCAGCGTGCGCTCTGGTACACAGCCACGTAGCTTGCATGGTACGCGTGGTGTCCGACGCTCCTATCTATATCAAGGCCGTTGTTGTTTGCATCTCGCTCTGTATGCGTGGAGGTCGAGCTCTCTCTGTTGTAGGTTGCCGCGGCGGGCAAGGTTGCAGTCATCGTTCCGTGCCGGTTCCAGCTGCACGGCGGTGGGGTTGTTCCCCGCTGCTGGGTATAGACGAGGGTCACCGCTCGGTATCTCGACGGCTGACGGTGTTGACGCCCCAGAGAAGAAGAAGTCGGCACGAGACGTTGACTGGCATGTCTTCTTCCGCGTCGTATTCGTTAGCAGTAGCAGCAGCAGCATCAGGGCTCCCGGTGAAACGGCATCGGAACACCTTCCTGCTGCCGCTGCAACAGCAACATCAAGAGCAGAATCGACTACCGGTAGCGGAGGAGGAAGCACTAGGCCTCGCGAATGAAGCACCACCGCAACAACAACGCAGCAACAATAGCAGCTACGAAGATAGCAAAAATGACGATGACCAGGCAGCAGCAATAGCAGCGGCGGAAAACGAAAGACTTGACGCCGGACCGCTCGCGCTGGTGATCCTGAACGCCCAAGGTGAGGGCGAGAGCGAAGGTCTGCTGCGCCACCTCTGGGGGAGAGCAGACCTCCGCGTGTGCGCGGACGGGGGCGCCAATCGGCTTCACGACAGCTTCGGTGGTGGCGGCGGCGACCTCGAAGACCGACACCAAGATAGGGCGCGCTTCGTCCCCGACATCATCGTCGGCGACCTCGACTCTCTACGGCCGGAGGTGGCCCGCTTCTACGAAGGCTTGGGCGCGGAGATCAAGCTCCGCGACGACCAGGACCACTGCGACTTCGAGAAGTGCTTGGTGGAGATAGATAGCCGGCTGTCCTCGCCGCCACTATCGCCGGCACCTGGCGGCAGCGGCGGCGGTGGCAGCGGCGGCGGCGGCAGCACCCCGTGCGGCGCCACCGTGGTGGGCCTGGGAGCGTTCGGCGGCCGCTTCGACCACGAGATGCAAGCGGTCAGCCTCCTGCACGCGTACACCCCTCGCTTCCACCGTCTCGTGCTCATAGGCGCTGGGAACGTCGCCTTCCTCCTCCAGCCGGGGCTCAGCCACGCCGTGCAGCCGGACTCGAGGTTCGAAGGGCCGACGGTGGGACTCCTGCCGGTTGGCGGCCCGTGCCGAGCGGTAACGACGGAGGGGCTACGGTGGAACCTGGACGGGCGGGGCCTGGAGTTCGGGGTCTGCGTGAGCTCGTCGAACCGCGTCGTGGGGGACGTGGTCCGGGTGGTGACGGACGCGCCGCTGGTTTGGACGGCGGAGTTTAAGGCCGCGGCGTGGATGGAGGCCGTCTCCTTCGCCGAAGACGACTGACTCGCCATTCGGTGCTGACTGAACTCATATTTTTTCACAAAAAATGAGGTTTGTGGTCCTTGTGAGTGCTTCATGGTGTTCCCGGAGAAAGACGGAGAACGGAGGTGTAGTGTGCTTGGGACGCTGGTAGAAACGCCAGGTTCGCGTAACCTTGTGGGGAAGGAATCTGATATCTATGGTCTGGCTGTTACGGCTCCCTCTTGTCCTGTTTTTCGTCTCTGTGCTATCCACGGTGACACCGGCCGGTACTAGTCCCAAATTTTCACGGTGCAGTTGTGGTGTTTGAGGGGTGTCGTGTTTATCCTCTTATCGTGATCGCCGGGCCTTCCCAACCTCGTTTTTTGGATGCTGGCTGTTTGTTAGATTTCAATCGCATCTGAATCGGTTCTTCTTTTCCTTTTCCCGACAAAAGCCGGGTTCGGCGTAGTGCGCGTCGTGGCGTGCTACACGCTTGCCATTGTTCATTCTCGTTTGAGACTGTGCCGTCAACCAAACGTGAAACTGTCTTATGCCAAGCGAAACGGCTCGCCGTAGTTGTTTGGTGGTTGTGGTAAGCGTTGCTTGTAGCGGGCTTGGCATCTTACAAACCGAATCCGGTTATACCGACAAACCGGTTCTCCGGTTTAACCGAAAAATCGGCTTCGCAAAACTTGCTGTGTTTTTCTTTGGAACATTTTCAGATTGTATGCAACCGAAAAATAGCTGGAAAAGCTCTCGTGAGTACCAAACTTCGACGTTAGCACCGGTGACGAGGGAACGGGACGGCTGGACCCTTCTGGCGATAAAAGTAAAAATTCAGCACGCACCGCAGGAGCAAGGTGGGGCACGAAATATATAAGAAAAAAAGCCCTGGTGTTTACCCCCCTCCTGTGTGACCCTGGTCTCCTGTAGTTGTACGAAAAAATACACTGAAAAGTGCAGTACACGTCTCACCACGAAAAATGGGAGGACTGTCGCCATAATAATGAGGACGAAACACACACACACACATGCACGACAGCAGCTAGATTGCCAAGAATACTGTATTCTCAACGGTGTCCACCTCCTGTCTCAACCGTAGCAGACGCTTTTCTCCGTGATGAGAACGTGTGTGGTTTATCCCCTGTTTAGTTAGCGTTTGGCAAACAACGTAGGGTGCTAACAACCATCAACTGCTGCATGTACCTGTATCATACCTCCAGTAGACGGCTTTTACAGGGTGCACAGCTGGGAACGTCACACAACTGCTGCTCTATGGCTAATTCGCTGCGTTCTGTATTTTGCAGCGGTCGTCCCCCCTCCTAACAGAATATACCCCTGATGCAACACCCCTCCATGGGGAAGTGGAGCGAGCGCATGGCGTGTACATAGTAGATAAGTCAAGCAAGACTTGGACACGAATCGCTTGGGGATGATTGCGCGAGAACACATGACGTTGGCCGTTCTCTTGTGGTTGTCGAGACGTTTTCAACACTCCTCCTTTGTTTTCGCGTCAACTTGTCCCCACGACCCCACAGTACGCGTTGCACCCATTTAAAAGCTTCGTTGGTTGGAGAAGCTGCACAACCTCACCCCCCCTCAATGGTGTATGAGATAAGCCAACGTTTCAACCGCAGTCCACCTAGAAGCCACAGTTGACGTGCCGAGGGGAACCATCACTCCCCAAGTTGCAGCGGCATCACCAGCTGAAGTTCTTGTGCTGGATCATGAACTCTTCGTTCGGTTACCCAACGCTATTTCACCACCGTGCGCCCTAGCACATCGTCGCATGTAACAACCATTTCCTCCAAAATCCGTCACGACGAGAAAACCCAACAACGGTAGTTACCTGCCGTGTCTCCCTAACGACAGCACTTGCTCCTGCCAGGGCACCAACTTGGATCAACTTCGCACCCAGGTGGAGCGACGGTCGCTGCAAAAATCCTAAACTCAACCTCTGCCAACAATTTCAACTACAGCAGCGCCTCGGCCTTTTTCAGGGGAGATTCCCAACCTCAAGTCTACCTGACAGCAATTTCAACTACAGCAGTGCCTTGTCCCACTTCTCTGGAGACTCCCAAAAAGCCTGGTCCCGGCTGCCGGGGCCCCCGTAAAACCCTTCCAGCGCGCGGTCCATGACAAGCGCGGTGCGGGCGGCCGCCCTGCCGGTGCTGCTGCAGCAAGCGTCTTCGACTCCGCCGCCACCGCCAGCTCTTGCTTCCTCTTGCCGCAGGCCGGCGGCCAGGCGAGCTCTCTCGGGATCGTCCTTCGGGAGGGACGCCCACAGGCGGAGGTCCCGCAGCACCGCCTCCACCAGCGGCTGGTGCACGTGGTCCGGCTGCTCGGCCTGGTGCATCGTTACCTCCGGCTCCTTGAGGCGCTCCACCGCTCGTGGCGCCGTGCTGCTGCCGCTGCTGCTGCTGCTGCCGTCTTCTGGCGCTGCCTTCTTCTTCGCCGCGACCTCCAGCCTCACCGGCTTATTGTTGAAGCAAGAAAAAGACAAGGAGCCCAGTTCGCCCACGATATCTATCGTGTCGTCCCAAACCCCGGAGCAGAAGTTCCAGGACGCGGTGCCCACGGCACCCGAGGCCGTCGAGAAGGAGAGACACACCACGTCCTCCACGGCGAAAGAGGGTCCCTGCAGACCCGTGGTCGGACGGAGGCGTTGTGCCGTGCCCCCCAGCGGCCGCAGCGGGCCGACGAGGTGGTCTAAGAGGTCGAGCTGGTGGGACCTGACGAGCCGATTGGGGTTGCAGTAGGGAAAGACAGAAGTGGTCGCTGTTGGTGGGAGCACGAAAGACTGGCTGCTGCTGTTCCAACGGTTGGGGCATCATCTTCATGGGGGGTTCGTCCGGTGGTGGATGAGATGTCATCGCGTGGCAGGTTGCGTACGTTTGTTGTTGCCAGCAAATAACGAAGTGCGGAGTTGGCCGTACCCTGATCCTGACCGCAGCAGTAGATGGATGCCAAGTCGTATTGACCATTGCCTGAAACTACACGCCAATAATTACTGGAAGCGCCAGAGGAACAACCCAGGAAATTGACTCGTCCGAAGCAGGTCATACGTGCCACACACCACAGAGGAACGTCGTGTTCCGTACGCAAAAGCCTACGCAATCCAATCCGGAAACATCTCAACAACACATGCTACGAAGTGATTGCTTAGGGGGGTCGACATACCCGAGGTCCATGAACAGTCCGCCGCCGGCGTTGGTCGCATCGACCCTCCAATCAGCGCGGACCTCCTCCCCGTCGAACTTGTGTCGAAACTGAGACAGGCGGAGGCTCACGCTTGTCACGCGCCCGATGGTGCCCGAGTCTATGACAGACTTGACGTATACGAACTTGGGGAGATATCGTCGATAGTACCCGCTGCCGTGTCGTGGGGGAAGCAAGCAGACGGAGTAATTGATCAGCGACAACGACAACGTTGGCCCGGCGGCGGGCGGGACCAGCAAAAAGGCGGCAAAAAAAATCGGGCAACGTTTGGCTTTGTATTCGAGCTCCTTGATGCGCAAATTTCGTCGACGTACTGCTCCAGCTTGATCAGGGAGAACACGCGACCTGAGAAGCTTTTAAACAAACGAAACCACCAAGCGTCCGAGCCCAGGGTGTACGAGGGCCTTGGGGATACAGGCACACGTCGTGGGACTCTCTCAATTAGTGGTTGGAAAGTGCTCTGTGTACCATTGTGATTCCATGTGACGCGACAAGGTCAGCTCCTATCACGCAATGCGAATTGCTTTCGTGCATTGCTGGCGCGCCGAAAGCAGCACCAAAATTGACAGGTACAGGCTGTCATGGCTCACTCACATGTAGAGCGGGAGCTTCGCTTCCTCAAAGGCGGCCGTCATGTCGAGGCACTCAGCGTGGCTCCTGCGCAACGCAACAGGAAAGCGCGAAAGGCGTAATAAGTAGGTCAAAGCAACAGATCGGGGGGTGAATCCGGCACCACCCATGTACGTCGGAAATCCGTTCGCGACGAGGGCAAGCAGCATCTTAATAGCCCCGACCCCCTTGCAACAACGCTGTGTGAGGCATTTAGCAGTCCTCGCACCACGGCAGCGCAACGTCGGACACATATGTGCGTACGCGTTTCCGCGCAGCACGCACTCCAACTCGAGTCTCGCACAACAAAGGAGCACATCCACAAATGTAGAGCTATTGAAGCACACAAAAAAAAAAACATCCCATCCTGACCTGTGCTGTGCCATGGGCGTGCGGCTGCACAGCAACAGCGGCATCGCCAGTCAAGTCCGAAGCACTAAGCCAGTAACAGCACATGCGGTGGTCGCGTAGGCATACCTCGCCATAGGTTTCTCCATGTAGCACGGCTTCCCCGCGGCACAGACCCGGAGGGCAAGCTCCTTGTGGGTGCCGGGAGGGGTGGCCACGTACACTGCGTCCACATCGGGGTCTTGCAGCAGCTCATCCAGCTCGGTGTAGAACTTGGGCACGCCGTGCCGCTTGGCGAAGTCTTCCGCAGCGCTCTTTGTGCGGCGCTAGGGGGGGTGGGAGGGTGGGGGGGTACTCATGTTTAGCATGCCTTCTAGAGGCTAGACCGTTGACCTTACATCCCTACACAGGCCGGACGTAGCACGCCGGGTTCTCACCGGACCAGGATCGCACCGGGGGGTTGGGGTGATCATAAAACGCGAACAGGACGCAAACGACCCGGATGGGGAGAAAGAGAAACGAAGGCGGCACAGGGAACCTAACCGGAGAGGCTGCGGTGGGCCCGCCCCCTCCCACCAAAAACAAACAATCGGAGGGAGAGAACGACGAATGTGGCGTCCTGTTGTTTCCTAGGAGTGCAAGGCAAAGAACAATCAGTCAAGCTTCGGTTCGTACGCGTGTTCCGTGGCTTGATAACATTTCTTAAGGTGCTGCAGATATCAGGGGCAAAGTGTTGTGGGTGTGGAACAGTTGCGATCGTGATTCCACAAGTGACAGGCTACTCACAACGAGATGCGCCGTGCATCGACACCGTTGTGGCAAAGTCCTGCAGCAAACTCCAGCAGCGAGATGACAAGGCTACCGATGATACAGAGGCTCAATGGCTCCGCTTGAAATCGCCCCATGCACAAGCAACAAGAACGACCAATCTTGTTGTAAGCTAAGGTAAGTGCTCACAGGTATTTTTGTAGTCCACGTCTTTTGTGCAGTTGAGCGTTCGATTTGCTTCTCTGGCGCAAAACGTCACACGTGCATCCTGCTCCGTGTAGTGATGCTGAACGGCAATGTAGTAAAGAAGCACCAGGTATTGGTGCTCAGTGCTGTCCGGCAGTGATATCTACAAGTTTAAGTATTTAGCTCAAGTGTTTCGTCATGAACTCACCATTACCGCAACGAGGGAGCTTCCTGGAGCCTTGTAAAACGCGGGACCGCTTTTAACCTGGTGTTGGTTCGAGCAGGAAGTGGATGCACAGCAGTTGGGTTGAGCAATGATTGCTTGGTTGCAGCAACACAAGCAACCCGTGTTGTCGTTGTTGTTGTTGTCGTCTTCGCATTAAAAAGCGTTCCGGTCTCCACTCAGTACCTTCTTATGTCCGTACTGGTCCAACTTACGCGGACGCCTTTCGTGGTCACAAGCCAACTGCCCCCTACGGGGGACGGACACACCTGTCTAAAAAATAATAAAAAAAATGTGAGAGATGAAATCACGGCGTCGGGAAAGACAAACATGTGTCACATTTGTTCCAAGCAGCGGAGCTTCCTGTCCTTACACACACTATGTGTCCCCTCAAAATTACAGCTAAATCTCTGAGAAAAAAGGCCATCGCCGCGGAGGTGGTGCTGGGTGATATATTGCTGCTGATATGGGCCCTGTCACTGCTACAGCAGTCAGTATAGACTACTGCTTGCTGCTTGTGGTCGCAGGAAAACGAGCGAGTGTAGTAGTAAATGTTCCGACTTACACGGCTGGCTTCAAAGGTAGATCAAGGGTTTCGTCCAAGCCAGACCACAACGGCATCGCACCTCGCACACACTCCCAGCCCCGACGAGCCCCCATCGAATCACGTCAGGGTTAGCGACCAACATGGCTCCCGTTTTACGATAGGTGGTGGAGTCGGAGTGCGGCGTGCGGCGGCGTGGGCTGCGGGCAACTATCAGGCGGGGGGCACGCGTTGGGCTCACATAGAGGGGTGAATGGACACATAGCACCCGCAGCACTCGACTGCTATACTGCTGCACACACACACACACACACACACTCCTCGACGTCGCCCACTAAAAGCAAGGCGCCAAACCATAGGCGCTGTGTCGTCGGGTAAACGGGCCCAAGACCATTGTGTTTTTCAACTCCGTTGGTGTGAAGCCAGGAGTGTGTTGAGGTCAGCGAAGGAGGACAGGACAGAAAAGCAGCGACTGTTGTTGTGAGAGAGATTCCGCTTGGAGAGAACGAAGATGCCGCCCATCAAACACCAAGTGGTTTCGCCTTCGGCGGGCATCTCGTGCCACGCGTGGAACGCCGACAAGTCTAGTGAGTGGTGCCCTTGCTCTGTGTATGTTGTTTGCTTTCAGTGCGTCAAGTACTGGTGCTCTAGGCTCTATTCCAAACTTTGTGTGTTGACTTCGTTATTGCGCCGCATTTTCGGAGAGCGGTGGGCACTCGCTCTTCTCTCTGTTCTCTGTTCGTTCGAAGGGAGTTTCGTATCGAGATCATTGACAGAATGCAGTCGTATCCTGGGGCTGGTCTTGCTGCTGTACCCGCGGTTAGCAGCGGTGCTATGTGGAACAGCGGCTTACGCACGTTGGCTGAGAAACATGGAGCAAGGCAGAGGCAAGGCATGCGACTTGTGCATGAGGCAGCACGTACAACCCTGTCTGTGCCAGATAAAAGCACGCCCGTCCGAGAAAAGTGGTACCAAATATGTACACTTCTAATACTGCTGTGCATGTCGCAACAGTGTTGGGGACTGAGCGCAGCGTTTGTGCCTCTACTAACGTTTGCAGAGCAATAATACAACAAACCATTTGTCCAGTCGTGCCCCACGGCAGGCCTTCCCACTCCCTTCACGCTTTGGTGGGAAACGAACGCCCTTGACGACACCACATCCGGCTGCAGAGAACTTGACACTGTACTCACAACGCGATCTGGCACACTTACATCCATGCCCTTTCTTCTTTGGCATTCCTCGAGAGACTTCACACAAAAGTCGCGCTCGTTTATCTCCGCCTGCCTGCCCGCCTGCCTACAACACTAGTGCTGGCGCTGTGCGCGAACGACAACCGGCTGCAGATCTACGAGGGGTGCAACAGCCCGAGCTTTGCGTCCTGGCGCCTGGCCCACGTGCTGGAAGAGCACGACCTGGTCATCTCCGGCATCTCCTGGTCCCCCGTGACCAACAAGATCGTCACCTGTTCGCACGACCGAAACGCCTTCGTATGGTCCTACGACGCCGCGCAGGTAAGGGGATACTTATTTGCTGTGGGAGGCACACTGATTGCAATCATTGCCAGGACGGAGGAGAGTGTGGGGGGGGTGTAGTCATACTCATAGTCGTGCATGCCGTAGTCGAAAGACCGTTGACCTCGCATCCCTACAAAGCCGGGACGGAGCACGCCGGGTTCTCACCGGACCAGGCTCTCACATCACCAAGCGCGAAGCGCCGTGAGATATTCGGCGAGTCGCATGAAGGGTACGCTGCATCCTGCTAACGGTGTTCGGCATCTTGTGCTTTCTTCCTTGCGACAGGATGGCAGCTGCGTATGACTTAATTCATTTTCTGGCGCGTTTACTTCCAGAGACAGTTGTAAGCACTGTGTAACTGCCTCGAGGGTGCTGGACCATTTTAACACAACGTGGTGCGATCATCCCCCTTGCGCGGAGTGAGGGTTCTCCACCCCGCACAACATGATCTTCTCGACCACCATTATGGTTTCCGCCAAAAAAAATCACAGAGGTAAAAAAAAAACGGTAACCTGGTTGCCGAGTTCACGAAGTGAATTGGCTTGTTTGACAACGTCGTTGCCAGGCGACGAAACCAAATCCCGATGGCGATAGCAAACACCGACGGGGTGACTTGTTTTACAACGTCGTTGCCAAGCGACCAAAACCCAACCCCGATGGCAAACACCGGGGGGGGCGGCTTGTTTTACAACGTCGTTGCCAAGCGACGA